CTGTCCATAGGATGTTGTTCCAGAACTGTGAAGGCTTTTTTAGATGTTGTTTGGCAAACTCTAATCTTGCCTTCCTGTTTTTGAGGCTCACCAATGGTTTACATCTTGTGGTGAACCCTCTGTATTGACTCTGTTGAAGTCTTCTCTTGATTGTTGACTTTGACACACATACACCTACCTCCTGGAGAGTGTTCTTGGTCTGGCCAACTGTTGTGAAGGGTGTTTTCTTCACCAGGGAAAGAATTCTTCGGTCATCCACCACAGTTGTTTTCCGTGGTCTACCGGGTCTTTTGGTGTTGCTGAGCTCACCGGTGCGTTCTTTCTTTTTAAGGATGTTCCAAACAGTTGATTTGGCCACACCTAATGTTTTTGCTATCTCTCTGATGGGTTTGTTTTGTTTTTTCAGCCTAATGATGGCTTGCTTCACTGATAGTGACAGCTCTTTGGATCTCATATTGAGAGTTGACAGCAACAGATTCCAAATGCAAATAGCACACTTGAAATGAACTCTGGACCTTTTATCTGCTCCTTGTAAATGGGATAATGAGGGAATAACACACACCTGGCCATGGAACAGCTGAGCAGCCAATTGTCCCATTACTTTTGGTCCCTTGAAAAGTGGGAGGCACATATACAAACTGTTCACCTGATTTGGATGTAAATACCCTCAAATTTAAGCTGAAAGTCTGCAGTTAAAGCACATCTTATTCATTTCAAATCCATTGTGGTGGTGTATAGAGCCAAAAAGATTAGAATTGTGTCGATGTCCCAATATTTACAAACCCGAATGTATATATACATATGTAATTTCATTCTAACTGTATTTTATTATTAATATATACATATTTGTATCAGAATACACTTAGAATGAACTTATCTCTTTCTCTCTATTATTTATATATATATATATATATATATATATATTTATAAAGCAGAAAAAAAATCAGCACTCCCAGGATTTTTAAATAAAGCTTCTTTTACTTAAAAAATATTGACGTTTCAGTTCCTTCCAGGAACTTTCATCAGGATAACAAACATCATATATATATATATATATATATATATATATATATATATATAACATATATATATTTAAAAATAAAAATATTTTAAAATTTTATATATATATACATTGAACAAAATTATAAAGGCAACATTTTAGTTTTTCCCCCCATTTTTCATGAGCTGAACTCAAAGATCTAAGACTTTTTATTTGTACACAAAAGACCTATTTCTCTCAAATATTGTTCACAAATCTGTTTAAATCTGTGTTAGTGAGCACCTCTCCTTTATCGAGATAATCCATCCACCTCTCAGGTGTGGCATATCACAGCATGATTATAGCAAAGGTGTGCCTTAGGCTGGCCACAATAAAATTACACTCTAAAATGTGCAGTTTTACTGTATTGGAGGGTTCTGCGGGGGGTCCAAAAAACAGTCAGTGTCTGGTGTGCCACATGCAGCAGGCATTGAGGCCCTGCTCATTTTATTATCAAAATCAGTGGACCACCTGTTGAATTTTTACTAGGAGTTTACTGGGAATTTTATCCACTTTGAAAAGTTATTTTATTTACAACAGACCGAAACTGCGATGGGATAGGCCAATGTCCAACTTATGCTAATTGTTGCATGCATTTCTAAGAAAAATTAAATATCTTATCAAATTATGGCACTCATCTTTTAAAATATCTCAGATTTGTGTACACCATCTTCATTATTTGGTCAGGATAAACATCTGTTAATCCATTGTTTTCTTTGACATTAGGTTTCTTTCTCGTTTGAGATTGTTTGGGGACCAATCTGCTATAGCATTTGTGTTGTCAGAATCAATAGTTTAGGCTCTTGTCATCTTTTCCATAGAGTTATTTAATTTATATATGCCTTGTGGCACTTATAGATTTGGGCACTAGGTTATTGTCCTTGCATTATTTTGTTGGATTAATCGTTATATTTCTGGCCGTTGAGAATATTGTGTCATAGTTATTTTGGTAGAATTTCCATGATTGACGAGTATGTATTTTGAATCAATGTTGCTTATATCAAAACTGATGCTATATATTTTTGATTTTGATGTCATCTTGTACTTTAGTTTCACCCATTGTTATTAATCACATCCACTATACTGTGTACCCACTTGGTTTGCTGTGTTCTATTACATACACTGTTCACATTTCACACATACACAGGTCTGTTTCTAGAATTCTTTCTCTTTTCATTCTCTTTTGCTATTTCTTTTTTCTTTTTTTTCCATCTCTTTGTGTCTATATACACATGTAGGAATTTAGCCTTTTCATATACACACACACACACACATTTTTTACACAGTCATCACTTTATTGATTAGCACTCCTTCATTATGTCTTCTTTTTGATTATGCATGCCTGCTTTACTTATCACTTATTATTATATGTGTTTATGTGAACCTTGCATCATCTTTACTTATGCATCTGATCTTTACTGTTTTAAGCTTAGTTGTAATCTCTAACCAAGTTTAGACACTTCCACAGTCCTGACTATATCCTACAAATGATTTGAAAACTCTTTTATACACACACCACTTAACTGATTGCTGGCAAGCCATACAGCTAGATGATAGGGAGTATTCTCTCTATTCCATACCCCACGCCAGTTATTCCTGCATTGATTATTTATTTGTACCATATTATCACCTGAACAACAAGAAGAGACAAAAACAGGAGAAAATGAATTATGGTAGAGTGTCCCGAAGAGTGAGGGGGACAGTCAGTGGTACAAATAGTGTGTACCACTTTAAATATAAAACTTAACTTTTAATACTAAAAAAGTAAAACCACAAGAGCACACATTAAGAACACTAATTAGTATAACTCGTCGCCATTAGTACGGATACAGTGTAATTTCAGGGATTATTTCAATCGGACAAGTGAAACCGCTGCAGGTGAACCGGTACAATAATTTACCTGGCAGCACAATATTACAGTCTCGAGTACAAAGTAGTATTTAACACCCTGTTCTCAGAGTATTCTTTTGTTAATAAAAAGTAAACTGTATACCTGTTGGTGTCTCAGACCATATATTGTTGTGTGGGAGGGAGAACCAGAATGGATAATTGATATTGCTATGCAGAAATATATATCGCAGAGATAGTGTGGGTTTAAGACAACAATAGTGGAGAAATTCCTGAGTAATTCTCAAAGTCCCTAAGTGCTTGTGTCTTTAAAGGCACCCCTTAACTAAAGCCTGCAAATCCCTAAACACTGGTCTATACAGCCAGGACAAGTTATACAAATTAGTGTTCTTAATGTGTGCTCTTGTGGTTTTACTTTTTTTAGTATTAAAAGTTAAGTTTTATATTTAAAGTGGTACACACTATTTGTACCACTGACTGTCCCCCTCCCTCTTAAGGATACTCTACCATAATTCCTTTTCTCCATTTTTTGTCTCTTCTTGTTGTTTAGTTGTTGGTGCAAATATTCTTGCACTAGGGGTTAACCCCCATTCAGGAGATTTTCTACTTTGGTACCCCTTTACCCTTTGAATTTTTCATATTATCACCTGACCACAATTTTACAGGATGACTTGAAAAACTATGACCTGGATGGACCAAGCCCCTTTGACCATGAGTGTGACCTCAACCCTTTCCAAACCAAGGACCACCAACTAGTGACTCAATTAGTCACTCTTGATACACCCACTCCACTTACAAGATGCAACAACTATCCAGACACACTACTTTAAAGTGATATGGGAGACCCATAAACGTGACATGATGGGCTTTTTCATCTGTAAGTTCTCAAAAGAACACAGGAGGCAGAGATAGTGTAAAAAATTATGACCCTCTCACAAGGATATTCTTTTAGGGAATGTGTGACAAATAAGACACAAACACAAGTGTATCATAAAATGTATTGTTAATATTGATTTAGAATACTGTTACAGATTTAAAAAGGATATACGCGATGCACATAACCACATCCAGTCCAAAACCCCCAAAAATATAGTAAAAGAGCAATACTTAAACATTTAAATGAAGATCTTCCCCTTGCGCCTTCATCTTGGGTAGTTTGGAACAGTCTCTCTCAGTTCACCATGACACCTGTGCTTGCTTCGCTGTCCTCTCTAAAAGACACAAAGAGAGAAAAAGAGAAGAGAGTAGAGGATCCAAACCTGATCGGCTGTTGTTCTTTTAATGACTGATTCTTGCTGTCATTAACTACAAGTTCCAGAATCACTTTTCCCTCCCAAAAGTGGTTTATCCAGCCCCCTTTTTCCAGAGAGTTCTGTCTTTAAACAAGTCTTTCCCTTTGATCTCTTCCCTCCAGTTACACTACAACACTCTGTAAAAAGTGACCAGTTAGGGTTGACTTCTGGGTAGATTGGACAGGATGGCTTGGGAAAACACAAACTTCATGGTTACACCTAGGTGCTAATAGCTCTGATATCCTGATAACATGCATGGAAAACTGGTTGGCAGGAGAACTGCTGGAGGGATGTAAGCTTTTGTTTTAGCTGGGTGCTGTAAAATGCAACTGAAAGCTTTGATCCTTATCACACTGTTATTAAGTAGATGACCCCACATTGTTAAGCCAGTTACATACACAGAAAGTTATATACAATATTGCAGTTTTGCATATCAATTTCTTACAATAGGCAAACTCACAGAAGACATCCAGACATTAGAAACAACACACAGGCAAACTCAAGACCTAACCACCTTCCAGGCATTAGCATAACAGAGAAGAAAATTATCCAAACTCCTTGAGAACCGCTATCATAGGTCATTAACACATACCAAAGCATACTTCAACAAATATAGCAACAAGTGTGGTAGGCTACACGCCTGCATGATTAACAAAAAAAGAGCCAGAACATGTATTGCATGCATGTGAGATTCCTGCATACACTTACAACACATGCCAGACCACATAGCTGAAGCATCACTTAACTGCTCAGAAAACCTATACACATTATAGTCGCTCCCCTCTTCCTCACCAAACACAGGAACAAATACAACCATCAGG